CTTTTTTTTTTTTTTTTTTTTTTTCCCCTGCTGGGGAAGGTTTCTGGCTTGCAGCCTCAACCCTGTGCCGCACTGAGCTCCCCTGCGTCTCTTACTGCGTGCCCTCCGCTGTGGGTCGAAAAGCAGCCAGCTGCCTCGTCATCTCCGTCCCGGACGGATGTGCAGGACCTGGATTTTGGCTGCCCACTCAGGCTGGCAAAGAAATACCTCTAGACATAATGGAACCCCCCCCCACACACACTATCCGAGTGTATCATGAAAGCACAAAGGGTCACAATAATGAAAGCACACAGGGATCGTAAGAGAAAGTGTGGATAAAAATACACTGAGAAGTAGTAGGCAGCATAGCCAGAAAGGCAAAAATTTCCAATAAGCAAAGGGCCAGTCCTGCAGTTCTTTTGCTCATGCTGCTTCTATTGGCTTCAAATGGAGTAAGTGGGCTTTAATTTAATTTCTTTCCTTTGAAATTGCAATAACATTACTGTAATAAAAGAAAGACCCAGACTGTCGTTTTGACAGTGAGAATTTCAGTTTTAGTGAGGCTTTCCACTTTCCTGTGACTCCAGAGGCAGCAATGTAGATAAAATATTTTTTTTTTATTAAAGATGTTTTATGTTGCTTTTTAAATGTTTACCTTTTAAGATTTAATGCAGGCAGCGAGTATAGTCAGGACTGAGTGTAACATTGGGGAAAAGAGTGGGAGAATACAGACATTCATTCTAAACATGATACTCAACAGCTTGAAGCATTACATGGTATGTATGCTAGGCAAATTAGTGGGTGATATGAAGCCAGGACCAAACAAGAATATTTCAGAGTATATGAATAAATCCAAATTAAATTGGAAACAGGCTCAAATTAACACAATGGGATTCAATAAAAGCAAGAGAGAGATTAATTTAAAGAAGTTATCAAGCTGAGCATCCCAGGGAGAACTCTTTTCCTGATGAAATGAGTTGCCACATTCTTGTCTGAAACTGCGACCTTTTTGAACCTTCCACTGTGACATATACTTGGCCATGAGAGAGGGCCCCTGCATAAAGAAAGATGTAGTGTGCCCTTCTTTGCTCATGATGCTCTGTTTGACTACTGCGCAGTGTTTTAGTTGTCAGGTGTGTTCGTTTCCTTTTCTCCAGAAAAGTGTTTTAAATAAAAAATAGCAAGTGTTCACTGCTGAGGAACGAAAGCTGTAGGCTCATGTTGTTTTAGTTGCTGCATTTCCATCAGGATTTTTGTTGTGCTTTTGTAGTTGTTCCTAGGCTGAGAACTGGGGTATAGACTCAAGTCAGCTTCCCCTCATCATCTGTGCTTTGAGAAGTACAACAGCACGTAGCAGGAAGGCTCTCCAGGAGAGCAGTCTCACCGTGCTGATATATGTAATTAACTAGCAGAATAAACTAACATGAAGATTAGCCAGCTCTGGACACTAGTGACTCATTTTTAACCACTATCTTAATTCCTTCTTTTGAACAGAGATGTAACACTGGCAGCTGACACTGTCTGCTCATATTTGTGTCAAAATCAGATAAACCCAGTATCAGACTTCAGCGTTTGGCATTGGTATACACTACACCTTTCAAGCCTCACATGAGGGAATCACTGAACTGGCTACCACCTGGCTTTTAATTTCCAAGAAGGGGTGGAAGGAAAACATTTAGGGAGAGGGCAATTTCAGCAGATGGGGGTTGAAAAGCAGAGGTAAGTAAAAAGATAAGCATGTTCTTGACATCCCAGGTCCCAGATTAGTTTTATCCCTCTCACTCCAAAAATGAGTTTAGTGTACTTTGGGATCTGTGTCTAGGATTTCCAAAAGAACCTAGAGGAGAGAGGCACACAGTTCCCCAACTGGTCAGTTTGTTCAAAGAGAATTGCTACTGAAGTAGTGCTCTGGCCATGTTTCTTTCCTGATTTCAATGTGATTGTCATGTTGTCTAACTCAGTGCAATTATTAGCCAAACCACTAACTGGCCCTGCCGAGGTAACTGTTCAGAAAGTCATTCATCTGATTGTGTGCTGTTTGCAAGAGAAAAATATTTTCCAAGAGCTTTCAGTCTTATTTTGTCACTTGTATTTATTTGGTTTGTGTTTAGGTGCATCTCAGGTGCGCTCGTTTCACCCTTAAATCAGGTTGTTTATAACCTGGGATAAATATGTAAAAAAAAAAACCCCAGGCTTCCTTATACTACAAACTTCTGCAAAGAGAATTTAATACTTAGAGTACTTTTTAATTGACCGGTTTTGTTTTGGCAGGTTTCTGCTACACCATTCAGCACAAAATTACCTTTGGTTTTAATACATTAGTTATGTGATGAATCTTCATTACTGTTCATAGAGATTTGAGAAGAAAAATATTACAGATGCAGAAAGAATCATTACCTTAGAACACGCATCACTACTGCTGTGCTTAGGAATAAGATGGATTGCTGTAAAGTTTGCTATTTAAAAACATGTTCTGAGACCTGAAAGTAGACCAATTCACCCTGTTTTTCATTCTGGCACATAGGATGACTTTAAATATCAAAGGCAGCTATGACTTAATGGTTAAATTTGCTGCATAGGCATCCTGCTATGGTGAACAAGACTTCCTATCTTCTTTTGAATATCTCTTAAATAAAGGGTCGAGATGCTTCCACAATTTTGGACTAAAAAGAACTCATGTTGTGATGGATTGCTGTTCCCAATGGCCTTCAATTAGGTTCTCGTCCGGATTTCTTTTTTTATTGCCCTGGTATTTTGACTTGATGCATATCTTCACATTTTTGTATCTGGTATATATCACAATATGCTTTCCATAAATTGCATGGTTTCTTTTATTTAGACATTTGATAAATACTGTATTTAAAATGTAGCACAACACTGTTAAGAGATAAATTGTCTGCTCCTCTCTGCAATCAATGGGTAGTAAAAAAACCAGAATAGAATAAAATAGATCCAGTTCATCAAGTACCACCCAATGTTTTCCTCCTTTTGCTATTAACATACTTTAAAAGCCTTTTCTTGTTGTCTGACACAACACTGGCCAATTTCAACTCCAGCTGAGCTTTGGCCTTTTGTGCCGTGGGGACCTGGGTCTTCCTTTGGGCCCCGGCAGCAGGTCTTGGTGCCAAACCCAGCAGCCACCCTCTGTCCCTCCCCTCACCTTGTGTGGCCGGCTTGGCTGCAGAAGGGTCACGGAGTGGTGTGTGAGAGGAGGGCGAGGGGCCCTGGGGTGTGTGAAAGGAGGGCGAGGGTCCCCGGGGAGCACGGAGAAGTTGCGCTGCCGTTTCTGCGGGGCTGACTGGCAGCAGAGAGGAGCTGTGCTGGGGGAAGTGCTGCAAAGAGCAAGCAATGGGGAGGGG